ATCCGACGTAAGACATCCGGGTCGTGATGTCCCACACGACGATGCCAAGTGTGCTGGCACCGGTCGTTATGCTCACCTCCAGTCTTCAGCGATCGCTGCTGAACTCGCAGCCGATAGAGACTACCGACCTTATCACCGACCACCACCGTCTCACCAGCAGCGTTTCTCACAGTGCACTCCGAATCACTAAACACCACAACAAAACCTTTTGCTGCTAGCTGGCTCACCGAAATTAGTCCACCGTCCAGCTCAGGCACGAAAAGTACGTTCTTCAGCGTAATTTCCACTCGTCCGCCACGTCCGTCTTCACCAAAAAAAATACCATCGCCGATTCCATTCACTTTCGTCTTATTGCCGTCGGCAAGAGTAACTTTCGATTCAACACTTGTGCGCAGCGAGTGGAAAAACGCACGATCACTTGTCATATGCGCCGTAGCGCCACTGTCAATCACCCAGCTGGCTGGCATCGTGTTGCCGGCCATAAAACACACCGCGCTGCTCGATCCCTGCGCATGCTTCGCCTTCGGATTGTCATCCTTCGGCCCTCGCTTTTTACCGGACGGGTTACCGGCACCACCACTGTTGTTCTTCGCTAGCCACTTTTTGCACTGCGCTTTCACATGCCCGGGTTGCTTGCAAAAGAAACACCGCCGCTCTTCTTTGCTGCCATCCGCGGCCAATTTCATCGCCTTCACACTCTCCGAAAACGACTCGTCCTGCTGCTGCCGCTGCCGGAATTCATCCAACAGCCGAGTTTTGACGGAAACCACCGTCCAATCAGCATCAGCCCGGCATTGCAGGGTTTGCACCAAACCACGATATGATTGCGGAACACTTTTGAAAATCATCGCTATTTTTAGCGATTCTTCTAAATTCTGGCCCGCGGCGGCCAGCTTATCAAACAAATCTTCCATGGCCGACAAATGCTTATCCATATCGTCACTTTCGGCCATATTTGCACTACACAGTTGGGTTAGGTAAAACACCACGGTCGACATCGTCGCCTTTTCGTGGTGCTCTTTGAGAGCATTCCACATGCCCCGCGCACTTTCCCAACCTCTCACGATTTTAAATTGGCTCTCATCCAGGAATAATCCGATGTTGGCACGAGCCTTACGATCGCGAGCAAACCAATCCGCGTCGGGGTCGTCCGGTTTTTCTTCACGAATCACATCCCACAAGTCTTCCTTCTCGAGCAACCATTCCATCCGCTGTTTCCACGAACCCCAGTTGCTCGAGCCCAACTTCGGGAAATTAACTTTGGCACTATCCGCCATTTTGCCAGTCGCGCACAGAAAACGGTACCACCGGATTTTCACTCGCGAGCCCACGCCGAATCAAACACTACGGTTCTCAATCTTTTCCGGAAGATCCGCTCGCTGGGCCCATAACCTGTGGGCAGAACCACTCCACGCAAAGCGAACGACACGAGAAAGACCGGAAAAAGGATCACCGACAATAAAACACCAAGAACTCGTAGTTTGAAAAGAAAGGTTTAATTCGCGTGTTAAATGTACAAAGTACTGAACGGTAATGAAAAGAAAAATGTGCTTCGCGCCACTCCGGTGCGCGTTCGTTTTAGTTTGGTGAGGTTGGCAGTCGCCCACTGCAAAACGTACGGATGATTGTAGCAAGGTGAATAGAACAGTAGACGTGTTGCCATCTCCGACACGCGGAACTGATAATATTCAAATCAACCGTTAAATGCATGAACGAAGATACACAATGAAGAGTTACGTCTGTTTGTCTGTGGTTAAATGCTTGTTAGATGAACAGCTTGCGAGTGTTATGTCTGTTTGTCTGTGATAGTCCTATTGCATTGTTTCTTATTTGCAACTATTTTCCACATGACAATCTTTTTATTTATTTTTTTCTTATTCTTTAACGTAAGTAAACAAAATTGGAAAAAAATGCTGAGATTCAGTATGTTTTTTACCGTAGGGATGCTTTTGCCGAGCAATCAGTTGTCTTTACTGAGATTTTCGGCAAAAATTGACAACCGTGAATTTTATGATTACCGAGATCCTCGGTAAATTTGCTGTTTGCCGAGATGGTTACCGAGCACTCAGTGGTGCCCATCTCGGCAATTGTTTTGCCGAGATCCGGCGAAAAAAACTTAGTGTGCAGGTGCGTCACCAAAGTTTTCGAGCCGCTCCGTCTGTCACTTCGTTTGTGGTTATAACATAGAGATAACTTTATGACCGTAGTGCGCTGAGCAGATGGCGGTAGTGTGAAAACGTCAAATGCAAGGGAATTGACTATGCACACGCAGAAAAAACTATCGTCAAAACAAAAATATTTGAGGTAAATTTAAACGTAAACTCAGTTTGTTCTGGCCACAAAAATAAATTAGGTTGATTTCAAACGTATTCCATGTTTGAAGTCATGTGAAATCAATGTTTAAAAAAAAATCATGTTACGTTTATTATAAAAATATTCGTGTTGAAAAAAAAACGTATTTGTTTTTGTTTGGTTTGACAGCTATGCGAACAAAAATAAATATTTGAATTTTAAACATGCTTCTCATGTTTAAAATAAACATACATATTTGGAAATTATTTTAATAGTTGAGTGCAGGGTAAAGCAAGATAAAACGCATTGCAAAGAAATGAAGATCTTCGGGCAGGGCATCTAAATTCATGCTCTTTCACCCTGCAATTAAGGGTGACCTGTGAGGAGGAGGAAGATATAGGGATCGGAATCAGAAACTGAAGTTGATACTGTGGGGTTCCGCAGGTTTTGTCGAGCTGGTTTCCGGATCCATCTTCGGTTTTGCGACTTTCGGGTCGTTTTTTGTTGAGTTGAGCAAAGGTGGGGCAACTTTTTCCGAATGTAACAAGAAGGAAATAAAAAGGCATACCCGCTAAAAACCGTTTACCCAAATCCTATATTGTTGAAATAAACATGCTTTTGAATTTAATTCAAACATAAGTATTTTAGTTTTAAACATGCTTTCAATTTACTTTAAATAATTCATATGTTTAGAGTATTGGCAAATCAAAGTTGGCACTCGTGGAGAATAGAAGAACTATGAAAGTGATGATGGTTTCAAAATTTTGCACGGGGAAGTATACGAGTGCAATCTTAAAATGCTTTTATTTTGAAAATGGAGCATTTTATTTAAATCTGGTTACTGCTACAGTGGTAGAAAAGCGGAAGTCTATGTTTACACCTAAAAATCTGAAAAGAAATTAAGTTTTCTGTATTATATGTCTATTGAGTAGTCCTGAAGTTTTCTACTAACGTCCCTAATAAACGTGTACCATATACTGACGATATCTTAGATGGTGCGACCATACCACATAAAATTGGGATGATATCCCGAATTAGTGCCACACAAAAAACGAAAATTGTTGTAATAAAAATAATGCAATTTCAATTTGAAAGCTTCCCTAAATTCGTAGTTTTAACTACGAAAAACTCAAATTGAAAATTATTTCTTTTGGTTTGACAATATTTCTTTCACTTTCGACTCGTAATTTTAAAAGCTCATTTTTGAAAATAAAAGTTGTACAACTGTCAAAAATACCTCTTCATAATGAAGTTTTTGGCAGCCTTGGCAGCACAACCTATTTTTACCGCCAAATTTTACTTGACGTCATAAGCAACCACAAGAAGGAGGCGAGAACTTGGAAACATTATGATTTTCCGCTGCAGCAGGGAATGTTAGGTGAGTTGAAATTTGATAAGGTTTATTATGAATTTGTTTTATTTGTTTTATCTTAGCACCAGGTCCGATTGTTCACGGAATTAGCACAGCTGATACGCAAACTCCTGATGAAAGGAATCAAGGCTGAGCAGATTGTTGACACCTTGGACAAGCAAATTGGAACGGATATACTTCTGACTGCAAACAGGTGGAAGTAGCGTTAAAATTCGAAATCTTTTTTTCGCCACTGAATGACCATGGGAAGCGTGAGGAGTCCACCCGCAACACGATCAAAGTTGATCTATAATCTTCTGGAAATAGTTTAAAAAGTTCCTGGGATCATACGGGCGAGCGAGCGAGCGAGACACTGTACAATGCGATGTGAAGTTTTCCCCCACTCGGGAGAAGGAAATTCAACATCATATATTTAATATTGATTGTTTAAAATATCAATAAACATATTTTTGTACATTTATTTCAAATAATAAAAACTTTTAAGTGAAAAATTATAAGATTTTGGAATGAAAACGGACGTAATAATGATGAAAGTATTTGTTTTTAAATTTAAAAGGACATATATGTTATCCTAACTATACCAAAGTTTCAGGCCAAAAGTTTATTTTGAATCAAAAATAATCTGCTTTTAATTTAAACACTGTTATGCTTTTCATTTGACAGAAGTACAATTCAATTTGAAAGTTTTAACTTTTAAAAGCAGTGGCCGGGCAACTTTTGATTTGACAGTTGGCCTATTTTTGTTTTGAAAGCGAACCGCTTTCTACCAAAAAGAACCAATGCATACTTTTAATTCTATCAATGTATTTTTTAATTTGAGCAACGATTTTTCTTTGTGTGTGGTTAGGCGCATCTTATGGTTATTGTTTATGCGGGGTAGCACTTACCAGATTTAAATAAAATGCTCCATTCACAAAATAAAAGCATTTTAAGGTTGCTTCCCCGTGGAAAATTTTGAAACCATCATCACTTTCATAGTTCTTCTATTCTCCACGCGTGCCAACTTTGATTTGCCAATAAACATTTATATTTTTGTTTTAAATGAACAAAATTTGTATCCGTGCACGCTACAGGTGGTGGTACTACCAACTACGATACTTTTAAATTGACCGTTAAATGCTTGTTCGATGAACAACTTGCGAGTGTTATGTCTGTTTGTCTGTGGTTTGATCATCTCTTTTGAGAAGTAGATATTTGGGTTAATTTCTCTATATTTTGGGTAATTTTATTTGCTCGTGTACTCAGTTGACTGCAAAACAAAAAACTAGATCAAACCACACGCACCAAACCGATGGGCAACGAGCGCCATCTTTTGTTTGGCATTTTTGACAAGAAGTGCGTGAAAACTTTTGTGATCGGTCGAGAGTGTTATTTCGTGTGATTAGTTTTCCAATTTTGTGGCGTTTTTATTTATTTTACCATCCACTAGTTTAATCTTGGTGCCCCAGAAATGTTTTAGCATTCTGGAACTAGTCGAACTAAAGAAAAATATTCCCCGGCGGAGAATAGATAGTGCAGAAAATAGGCTCCGGCATTTGGCATTCGAAATCAGTGTTCAACATTTTGGGCGGAAGTTTGAAAATGTCGGAGGAAGCTAACAGCATCGACGAATTAGCGAAGGAACCTTGTTCTCCGGAACAAAATGAGTCGGACTCACCAGACGATGATGATCTTGATGTGCCAGATCCGGAATGTAAGAAAAAAGAAGCGACTGAAGAAAGCCAAGTCGAGTGTACCGGGGAGGAAGAGGCCTCATTGGATGGCGAGGAAAAGAATATGATAACAGAAAATAGTCCAGAGGAATGCCCTGCCGATGGTCAATCCATAGAACTTCATGCTAAAGAGGAAAATGATTGCGCTAACAAGGATAAGAAAAACGACGAATTGTATGATAAATTAAGTAGCAGCAGTCCAGAGCCGGGTGAACTGCCGGATGATGATGACCTAACTGGAGAAAACACCAAGAATATTAAAAAGGAAACCCGGAATGGAAGTGATACGGAAAACCATTTCGAGGAAGTGAAACTTGTCAAGACACGCAATACATCAGAGGACGACATACCGAAAATCAAGAAAGAACAGAACGATTCGGAACGGGTTAAACGGGAAGCCAACTCTGTGGATGACAGCTGGGAAGAAGAAACCAAAAGTCCTAATGTGAAACAAGAAATTTATTCCGATTTGGAGGATGATATTCCTCCAAAAACTCCCGAATTAAAACCGCTCGATAAAGAACCCGAACCGTCGAAGAAGCTAGCAAGTATTTTTGAGAAAAAAATAAAAAAGGAAGACGGCAGTTCCGAGGGAATATTGCAAGAAAAGCTGAAGCAGTACTTCGGTCACAATGATTTCAAGAGCGCATTGCAGAAGGAAGCGATACAAACTATTATAACAAGTGAGTGGCTATTTTAGCAATACACAATTTTTGACTTTGAAGTATTTCACAATTTGTAATAATGGCAAACCAGATTCTCTGATCACGTCCAAACCTTCACAATTATCCGGGAAGTCTAAGAAGAATATAAATAGGGTTTGAGATTTTTAAGTGCTGAGTATAAGCTAATTAAAAACATTGAAAAGTTGTTACCAAAATCGGAATCATAACAAATAAATTTACAAAAATATTTGTTATTAAAAACATTTCCCATTTTCCCCTTTCAGGAACCCGAGATGTGTACGTTTCGATGCCAACCGGTTCCGGTAAATCGCTGTGCTTCCAGTTGCCCGGCGTCATGCAAGATAACAAGGTTACCATCGTCTTTTCGCCCCTGTTGGCCCTGATCAAGGATCAACTGGATACGTTGGCCAAGCTTAAAATCCCAGCCGATTCTATCAATTCCAAAATGAGCAACAAAGATCGCGATCGCGTCCTGAACGATCTGAAAAGCATCCGCACGGATATACGCTTCCTGTACATCACACCTGAACAGGCCAACACATCCACCTTTAAGGAGCTTATGAAGATGCTAGTCAAGAACAAGAAGGTCGCGTACGTCGTCGTCGACGAAGCACATTGTGTCAGCGATTGGGGTCACGACTTCCGGCCGGACTATCTCAAACTTGGTCACTTGCGGTCCGAATACCCTTCGATTCCGTGGATAGCACTAACCGCAACCGCTTCCAAGAAAGTTGTCGTAGATATATTTAAAAATCTACGTCTAAAAGAGCCCATTGCAAAATTTAAAACACCTTGTTTCCGGAAAAATCTCTACTACGATGTTGTGTTTAAAAACTCCATACAGGATGACTACATCCATCTGCGGGATTACATTGAAAGTATTTTACATAAAGACGATGCGGATGTCAAGCCGGTATTGAATAAAGCCTTAAAAAGATTTGTTTCCATTGCTATAATTTAATTTGTTTTCACATTTCAGACTAAGAAAGCATGCGGTATCATCTATTGCAGAACGCGTGAGACAACCGAACGGGTTGCAAGCAGTTTATCCAAACTAGGACTGAAGACTGCTGCTTACCACGCTGGGTTGAAACAATCGGAGCGAGTTGCTGTGCAGGAGGACTGGATGAATGGAAAATATGCAGCAATTTCCGCCACCATAAGCTTTGGCATGGGTGTAGATAAAGGCTCGGTGCGTTTTGTCATTCACTGGGACATTCCCCAGAGTGTGGCATCCTACTATCAGGAATCGGGTCGAGCAGGTCGCGATGGAAAGAAATCTTACTGCCGCGTGTATCATTGTCGGGATCAGTGCAAGTCGATCGACTTTCTCCTACAACAGGATTTGCAGAAAGGCAAGGGCACTTCCAAGGAGGATAAGGCCAAGCTAGCTGTGAAGAATTTCGAAAAAATCGTCCAATATTGCGAAGCAGCCTATTGTCGACATAGGCTCTTTTCAGACTTTTTTGGCGATGATCCACCGAACTGCAACAACATGTGCGATGTATGCGCGAATCCAAAAAAGGTAGAAAAAGCTATCGAAACATTTCAAAAGTTGTCAGTGTCTGGAAAGCTAAAAACGATAATCGGTTTCGATGACGATTGTTCCGATTTATACGAAGGCGGCCGCAAAGGCGCTGAAGATGCTTACGAGGAAGTGGAAGGGAACGATAGCGACTCCCTACGAGATAAGCGTGCAAAAAGAGAGACGGAATTACTGCTTCAAAAACAATTCGCCCTGAGAAAAGCATCTGCTGCAAAAGAATTGGATATGCACAAATCGGTCTCCATTAGTCGAGTCAAATTTGCCCTCCAGACCACGGTTAAGGTTAACGGACTAACGATTTCTTCCCGAGAAAGCAATCTCACCATGTTGGCTGATCTACTTAAGAAGAATGTTGAAGCATGCAAAGAGTCCGACCCACCAGAGCATGAACTGGTTTATAAGGACTTCGAGGATATAGCAGTAGAAATGGAATATGAATCATTTACCAGCAACACTGTAGGCAGTCTCTACAGGAGGTCGATTGTGAAACATGTAAGTACGATTTGCAATGTTCGCTCTAACTGGTTTCTTTAGGGATATTAGGGTGATTGTAAATTGAACCAAAACTTAAGATTTCATCAATTTTGGACCATTGGAACTATTTTAAATAAATGCGAGGACCCTTGGCACCAGTGGTACTTTGAACACAGACAAACCGACAAACCGACATGACGCTTAATTCTGAATTATGCCCGAAAATCGTAAACGGCCGATTTAAATGTTCAGTGATCCGAACTGTCAAAACCATAGGATTTTTTGATCTAGATAAAAATAATTTGTCCAAAATATATCAGACACGAACCAATTCATAACTTTTGCATGCTGGTTCATGGCTTAGCTAAATATTTCCCGCAAACACGGAGTCAGATGTCAGTAGTGTGCTTTGGTCAGAAACTTTATTGTTTTTGCTATGGTCATTCATGTCGGTTTTTCGGTGCTTTGAATGGGAGCGAGCGTAAATTTGTTAATTTTGTGTCCAAAAACGAAGTGATTATTTTGCTGTGTCTCTATCGACGAAATCCATTTCCCATACAATTTGTTTTCTTCTTCTTCTTCTTCGCATTTCAAGCTTATTGCATATCGCATATTAGCTTATTGCGTGCTCTCAACTTAGTGTTCTATAGATGCACTTCCACAGTTATTAATTGAGAGCTTTCGATGTCTGTACCATTTTTGCATTGGTATAATTGTGTGGCAAAAGTCCAATCATACCTTCTATGCCCAGGGAAGTCGAGAAATTTTCCAACCCGAAAAATTCCTAGCCCGGACCGGGAATTGAACCCATGTGTGTGTGTGTGTGTGTGTGTGTGTTTTTTTTTTTTTTTTTTTTTTTTTTTTGGCAAGGAGGAAACCTTCAAAAAGGCCATCGTGCCACCGCTTGACGACTGGGCGCACAGTCGCGGTGACACGGTGTGTGGGATTCTTACCGCACTAAAACCTCCTTAGACGCCTTGCCCTTTTCCCCCGGAACCACTTGTCGTATTACTTCGGAGGGGGTCGTGCATTACGCACCTCACTTTACCTCAGCTAATTGGCGCTTCCAGTTCGCTGATCGTCTCTCCAATTTGTGAGCCATTTATCTCCCAGCGTCACGTTCTACTCGGTTATCCCTGGTGGTGGATACAGCCTACTCTGACAGAGAGTTCTCCCGGCTTCGGCTTTCAGTTCGCACTTGTGTGAGCACATTACTACTTTCTAGTTGGTCTTCCCGCCATTTTCGCTGCAGCGCTGACATGATCTGCGTTACTGCTCTGCTGACGGCGTTAAAGGTGCCCTCCTCTCGACACATTTCTTCGACGACATTCTCCGTGCTAAGGGCGAGCATATCCTCTCGCACATCATCAAATCTAGGACATTCGAAGACCACGTGCTCTGGTGATTCTTCCACATTCCCACACTCCGGACAGAAGGGTGACGTTGTGTGTCCGAACCGATGCAGGTACTTCCTGAAGCAGCCATGACCAGACAGGAACTGCGTCAAGTGGAAGTTGACTTCTCCATGCTTCCTGTTCACCCAGGTCGAAAGAGTCGGTATTAGCCTGTGTGTCCATCTACCGTTCTCTGCTGCATCCCACTCCTGCTGCCACTTAGCCATCGACTCCGTTCTCACCATTTTTCGTACTCCTCTGGTTTCTCTCGTCATATAGCACTCGTAGTCCTCCGCCAAGGTGATGCCGATTGGGATCATACCGGCGATAACGCATACTGCCTCCATCGAAATGGTTCTGTACGCACTCACGACTCGCATGGCCATGAGCCGGAACGTACTGCTCAATTTCCTTTGGTTCTGCTTCGTTTTCAGCGCTTCAATCCAGGCTGGACCTCCGTACCTTAGTATTGATGAGGAAACACTAGCCAGAAGACGTCTCTTGCTGCTGCTTGGACCAGAATTGTTCGGCATGATTCTGGCTATTGCGTTGATGACCTTCGTCGCCTTCTAGCAAGCATATTCGATGTGGCTATTAAAGTTTAGCCGGTCGTCGATCATCACTCCCAGATACTTAAGCATGCGCTTCGAAGCAATGGTGTGCTCTCCAACGGTAATTTCTGCCCGCTGCACTGCTTTGCAGTTACTGACCAACATCACTTCTGTTTTGTGGTGGGCTATCTGCAGCTTCGCTCCTTGCATCCAGTTACCAATCGTATCTATCGCCTCAGCCGCCAACATTTCCACTTCTTCCAGCGTCTCACCGGTTACCGTCAAGACGACATCGTCCGCAAAGCCAACGATCTCAACTCCTTTGGGCAGCTTGAGCGTCAGCACGCCATTGTACATTCCGTTCCACAGCGTGGGACCTAGAATGGAGCCTTGGGGAACCCCCGCCGTGATTCTAAGCGATTTCTGCCCCGTGTCTGTCACGTAGACAAGGACCCGGTTCTGGAAATAACTACTTAGAATCCTGCAGAGGTAGCCTGGAACCCTCATTCTATGGAGCGCCTTGGCGATGGCCTCCCAGCTGGCGCTATTGAATGCATTCTTGACATCGATCGTAATCACGGCGCAGTATCGATTTCCTCTCCGCTTCTGTTTGGAAGCTTTCTCGGCTCTGTCAATCACTGTCCGAATTGCATCCACCGTCGATCTCCCTTTCCGGAATCCAAACTGTCTCTCCGACAATCCGTGTTCACTCTCCGTGCATTTCGTCAGCCTGTTGAGGATGATCCTCTCTAAGAGCTTTCCTACAGTATCCAGCAAGCATATTGGCCTATACGATGCAGGATCCCCCGGCGGTTTTCCGGGCTTCGGCAACAGCACAAGCTTTTGTACCTTCCACCTATCAGGGAACTGACCATCGTCCAGACATTTCTGCAGCACCATCCTGAACATGTCCGGGAACGTCTGGATCGCCGCCTTCAACGCCACGTTGGGAATTCCATCCGGGCCGGGAGCTTTATTCGCTTTCAACCCTTTCGCTGCTGCTATGAGTTCCTCGTTGGAGACTTGTTCAACGTTGTCTTCATCTACCTCGCCATATGGTGTAGGTGGCCAGTTCGTTGGGTCATGCTGTGGGAAAAGTCCCTCCACGATGACTTTCAGCTTGTTGTGACACATTTCAACCGGCATCGTTGGTCCTCTGATCTTCGCCATCGCAACTCGGTATGCGTTGCCCCAGGGGTTGGCATCGGCATCGCGGCACAACTCCTTGAAACTATTTGACTTGCTCAGCTTTATCTTTCGTTTCAGTGCAGCCCTGGCCTCTCGGAACACCACCCTGCGCTCCTCTCTGTCTGCTTCTGTTCTTGCTCTCTGAGCACGCCTTCTGGCTAGAAGACAAGTAGCACGGAGGGTGCTAATTTCCTCGTTCCATCAGTAGGCTGGACGCCGCCTGTTCGTTGGCTCCAGTTTTCTCGGCATAGTTGTGTCACATGCCCTTGCTAATAATTCGGTCAACTCATTTGCGCTTAGGCCCGGGACGCTGTTGTCTACCCTTAGAGCTTCGATGAAGAGATCCTTATTGAATGCCTTCGTCTTCCACTTCCGCTCGCTTACTTTCGTCCTCCGCATTTCCACCGGTGTTCGTTCGCCGATACTGTACCGGATCGCCTGATGGTCACTATGGGTGTACTCCTCGCACACCGTCCAGTTCATATTTGCCATTAGCGACGTACTGCAGAAAGTAACGTCGATAATGGATTCCCTACCATCTTTGCGGAAGGTGCTGATGGTTCCTTCGTTGGCCAGACTGACGTTCAACTTTGCCAGAGCTTCCAGCAGGCTATACCCTCTTGCGTTGGTACATCTGCTCCCCCAATCCACTGCCCAAGCATTGAAGTCTCCTGCGATGACGACTGGTCTCCGTCCAATGAGCTCTTCGGTGAGCCCATCTAGCATCTGGTGGAACTGCTCAATTGTCCATCTCGGGGGTGCGTAGCAACTACATACAAAGATTCCATTGATTTTGGCGATCACGAAACCTTCATATGAGCTTGCCACCACTTGTTGTATGGGATACCTGCCCATGACTTGTATGGCCGCCATTCCTGCTCTATCCGCCACCCAGTTACCATTATCGAGAGGGACTCGGTATGGCTCTGCAATGATTGCAACGTCGCACTTTGTTTCCGTTGTTGACTGCCACAACAGTTGCTGTGCTGTGTTACAATGATTGAGATTTATTTGGGTTACCTTCATTATTGCTGGCCCACCATCGCCTTCTTGAACTCAGGGCACCTGAAACTTCCCGTCACATGGCCATTTCCGTCCTCCTTTTTGCAGAGCATGCACCTCGGTTGCTTTGTACAGTCTTTTGCAACGTGCCCCTTCTCTCCGCATTTCCTGCACAGATCAGATCTGTCAGGGCCTTTGCAGTGTCTCGCCTGGTGACCGAAGCCCATGCATTTGTAGCATCTCTCCATTTTCTTAGATACCCGAGGAATAGCTTTCAACGGGCACACTGACCACCCAACCTTGATTCGACCAGTCTTCAGCAGCTCGTTAGCTGCGTCCGAAGAAAGTCGTATCGACGCCGTCTGCGTGCCACCATACGCCTTTCTCAACCGAATTGCCATCGGTACGTCTCCCAGGTTGCATTGCACCTTTAGCGCACTTTTCAACTCGTCTTCTGTTGTGATCTCGTCCAGATCCCTGCACTCGACCACTGACTCCTGGGATAAGGCTCTTACGTTCGCCGTCTCGCCAAGAGATTTTTCGACGAGCTCCTTAAAAGCTGAGCTCTTAACCGTAGGGTCCCTTTTCAGCTCGAATAGCATCTCGCCTTTCTGGGTTCGCCTGGTTTTCACCACATTCTCGCCTAGTTGTTTCAACTCCGGATCCTTTCTCACTTTCCGGAGGAGTGCTGCGTAGGACGTTTTGTCCTTCGCCTCAACAACCAGAGCGTCACCCTTGCTTCTCTCCCTACGAGGCCTAGGCTTCTCCTTATTCTTCCTGTCTTCCTTCTTCTTCTCTTCCTTCTTCCTCGCTTCTTCTTCCTTCCTCCTTGCTTCCTCTTCCTTCTTCCTCACTTCATCTTCCTTCTGTTTTTTCTTCCTCTCCTTCTGGTTCTCGACTTTACGCCACGCACCATTTTCTCCCATCTCCTTGATGCCTTCCTCGTCGTCCCTGCGTTTTTTGGGCTCCTCCTCATCTCCTGGCGTGTCCCTATCTCTCTTTTCAGGACGTGGATTTGTGGGTCCCTTCGG